TGGGGGGGGGTCCTATTTCTTTTCTGGAACACTTGATGAGATTTATCATTATGGGGAATATCAGTAAAGCCTTCAGAAATGCTTGCAAGTTGTGATTGGGAACCATTTGTCTTGGGCTCACTTGCCAAATTAGCATAAATTTTTAATAGTAACATGTTAAAGAGATATCCAGCCAGGTGGTATGATTATCGCCTTTTATTTAATGGAAATATTAATTTTTAATACTTATTTATGAAGTAAAATTCAAGACTCTCTGCATCAATATCCATTTATGTAAAAGCAAGTTACTGATCTACTTCATTGGCAGAACTACCATAATACGACCATTGAGGTGGCTAAACTTTTTTGCATAATCTGCACTGTTGCTTACATTATATGTGGCACATAGTTAATCATTTTAGTTGTATTATATGTGATTTTTTTTATTGTGATAGAGAAATAAAGGCACTACAAAGCGGCAGCTGCCAAGAGGGTGCAATCCATAATAACATGAAATGCTTTATTGTTAAGCACTTGAACTTAGTTTGTATACAAAGCATTATACACATCTTTGATTGACGTGTCACCAGTTTTTTGTCCATGTTGAACAAGTTTGTTCATTGCCGATATTTATGCAGGGAAAACAGAGTACATTTATGCTCGTGTGGTGGAGCCTTCACGACTTGCATTGGAGGTATGTGCGACACTTTCTATTTTTGGAGTGTTGTGAATACAGTTCGGTTACTTTAAAGAGGTTTTCATGCCAATAATTGGCTGGTCCTCTCAAGATTGAGCCATGGTTCTTCAAATCTTGGGGTCTCTTCTCAAAAGTGGTAGTTAATACTCTTCCTTTTTGGATGGTTAGAGTCCTCCCCTCCCACCCTCAAGAGAGGGTTGTTGAGTACTTGCCAGCATTCTTGTGAGTGATCATGCGGAGGATTTCCTCAACTCTTGCAACCACAGCAGCACTTCCGGGACACCATAGACATGCCAAGGGACAGAGCTGTCCCCATGCTGCTATTCTACTTGGCTCATTATGACATCTTTTGGGTCCAATGGCCCGGCAACCCTTATTTGGGCCTCTGTTGTGATTCTGAAGCTTTGACAAGGCGTTTAGGCCCATCCTAGTGCTAGCCTTCCAGGTTTAAAAAGCTGAAATGTTAAATAGCTTTTGAACAATTCCTCAGAGTAGAAGCATTAGCCACATATTCATCTGATAGGCTTCAAACAGCCTTCCCAGTTTTGAAGGTCTGAATTGTTGAGTTAGCTTTTGAATAATTCCTCAGAGTAGAAACATTAGCCAGATATTCATCTGATGGGCTTCAAACATTACTGCAGGCCTTTCTAATAAGTCACTATTGTAGAATGTGCCGTTCTTGCTGATGTTCATCATAATTTAAAATAGCATGACATCTAACATTGTCTTCGGCATTATATATACTGCTAAGTTTGGTTTTCAAAGTGCTGAATGGATAAATTTATTATTTCCTGTTGTCACTGTGTCCTAATCTTTAGAATAATGGCTGCATTCAGGGCATCTGCTTACATTTGTCTCAATTATTGGCATTGGTCTTGTTTTCATTTTTGGCAAGGTTTTGTCCGAAGAGTTGCCTGGTACAATTGCTAAAATCTCCTTCCCCAAGTCAATGCGTTGGAACTCTGAGGTTTGTGCCATTTTGACTACTTAGCTTGAATATGTGATTAAATTTTCCTTCATGGGCCTTTGGGCAATTCCTGGGTTATTTGTTCCAACTGTTACCAGGTCACACTTAACATTTGATTGAACAAATCTTTAGTTGGTTGTTTTGTTGATCATTAGATGCTGTCCTTCCAATCGAAAAGGATTAGATGAGACACGTGCATGAATTGTAGTTAATGATATGCTCCTGCCTTTTATGCTTTTGGATCTTCTGCTGGGGTACAAGTGCAGAACTTAATTTGCAATTTAAATCTCTGTAGACATGCACAGGGAGTATAATCCAGTGATTAAACAGAGCTTCTTTAATAATTAGCAGTAAAAGTTCAGAAGTTCCTAATTTCACTAACTCTCAGTAATGTACATAAAACATAACTATAGTACATCAGAGGGTGGCAATTCTTACTATGTTTTACGCTTTATCAACTTGATTATGCATTTTAGCTTTCTATAAACTGAATGTGATTTTTGTTCACTTGATATTACTTAGGTCATGTTCAGCAGACCTATTCGTTGGATTTTGGCCCTCCATGGGGACATGATAGTTCCGTTTATTTTTGCTGGTATTTTAAGGCAAGTATGCCGGCCTGATTACTTTTTATGTTTACTAAAATTTTATTCTTCTGTTTATAAAATATTTTGTTTTGATTAATTGGGTAGGACATCCCATGCACACCGGAAGTATACAAAGAGCAAGGGTCAAGGACGAACCAAAAATATCAAAAGAAAACTTATGCTAATTACATGGGGAACACCAAAAGCCCAAAAAGCTACATACAAAGAGAATATTGGTTTCCTAAAAACCCATAAAACAAAAGTCTGAAGAAGGGTCTCCAATATCTTTGGGACTGATTGCTCCTCTAAAGTCAAGGGGGGAGGCACTACCTACACCTTCAAACCTCTACTTCTGCCACATTCCCTCTGCCAACAGTTCAACAAATTCAGGACCGTTTAGGGCCTTAGGCACAATCCAAGACACCTCAAAATACTGAGAATACAAATGCACAGACCAGGCCATTTGTTTCCTCTACTCTTTTGCGTATACAACACCAATTAATATTTCTTTGCCTTTGTGCCTTAAAAGTATCAAAGGTGAAGATATTCTGTAAAGCTGCTGACCATGTGATTTGAGGGGCTATGGATCATGGTTATCACAATTCACTAAACCTTTAACGACCCATGATATGGGTACATCGATCCGAAACGTGGTGGGTTCGCGATCCAGATCACCAAAATTGACGACTCCAAATTATAATACTAACTTTAAATTAATTCGCTTTAGAACGTGTAGCACAAATATAAAATACATATTAATTGACTAAATGTATATAGATTTATAATTATATATTGTTTTAGATAATAGAAAATTAAGCACAGTTATAAGATAAATAGTAACTAATTTAGTGTTTATGAATGTTTTGCAATATATAATGTTGTATAGTAGTAAAAACGATCTACATAAGAGTTTCAAAACGAATTGCGACTCAAAATATTGTACCAACTAAAACTATCCCCATCGTATCATGTACCTAAGAAAGTGTCGTACCATGTACCCGTACCTGTACCATTTACCAAAGCGATCCACGATCCAGTTAACATTGCTATGGATGCTTTCAGACTCGATGCTGCTGTTCAAGCTTCGTATGCACTGAGGCTACTAGGGTTTTAATAATGAAATCAACGATTTGCGCATGCTTTCTGGTTGTTTGGCACATGGAGCCTCTCTCGGATGTACTTAAACATAATACTGAAGTTGTAGGGAGTCTGTGAGCTTTTCTTGTCTAATACCTTTCTTGTTTCATCTTTGAGAGCAAACGAAGCAGATACTTAATGTTGAAGCTTCCCATTCTTCTAAAATCTTAAACTTTTATAGGGAAGAGCAAGTTAATTGTTTATATCCTCAACATACAGTACAGATTGACTGCTGGTCATGTTAAAGGTATTGTGAACTGCATTTCAGGTAGGATTCTTAACCAGTCATCGTTTCTTAACCAGTACTATAGTAGAGTACCCATTAGGTAAACTATAATATCTGGTTAGTGGTTATCTTTGGATATCTGGTGTATCCTATATTCCTATATAATTCTCCACGATGTTATTGGTAATGCATTCGTCTCTTTTTGGCCCTTTTAGTCTACTGATATTCTATTGCGACTCATTCACGTTTTTCTTTTTTTATATTGTAGTGGAAATCTATCTCATGGTCTTCGAAATACTCCTTCATCTACTTTAAAGGTATGTCCACAGAAAAAATTATTTGAGTTATATTAACCTTCTTGCTGTTAATTGTTATAAGGAGTAGCAGTACGGACTTAATTGTTCCCTTTTTCTGCTTCTTTTATGATCTTCTTTCTTTCCTGATTTGTTGGCATGTTTGCTGTTTATTTAATTAGTTTCTTTACTTGTTTACAAGGATGGTATGTCAGTAACTATATATATCACAATGAGAGTTCTGATTCTACATGTAAGAACACAATGATAACATATTTCTGCTTATTGCCCTGATATGCATGCTGATGATCATTCACAAAATTGTCACAGTTGAAAAGTGCAGAATCATATTCCAATGCAATGCAGCTTGCTGGAATTTCTGTTGATATCGAGGTAAGTGAAACAATGAATGACGTAGTCTACAGCATGATGTCGACTAAAGAAGTGAAAAACCTAGTGCTTAAAAAATTCATTTACTCTACAGCATCGCAAGAACACAATTCTAGAGCGCTCCAGTGTTCTAGCAAAGGGTGTTAATGGGTGTATTGTCATGCAGAGTGGCTTACTTGATGAGGTAACACACATGTTGTATCTTTAAGTGCTTATTGTCGCTGCTTGTGCTACATGATCCAAATAGTTGGGACAGTGCTTTGTTGATACATGATATAAAAGTATTTTCCCTTGTGAAACTCAGGTTGTGAATCTTGTTGAGGCACCTGTTCCAGTTCTTGGGAAATTTAAAGAGTCTTTCCTAGAGCTTCCCAAAGATCTGCTAATAATGGTAAGACATTCAATTTTTATGGACTTCAATTGTGTCCTTCCAGCTGGTTTTGTGGCAATGCTTTTGGAAGGACGTGTATGAATTTAATGGATACCTCTTCCTGCCCAAACTTATTGTTTAGAGCTTGATCATATACTTTGTTGGAACCATTCTCTATAAGCTGTTTTTGGAGTAGTGGATTATCTGTCATGGGGTTGGATGCTCAAATCTCTCCGTCACTTCGTCTACTTCTCTTTGTACATATCAATTCACAGTCATCTCTCCTCCTTGAGTGATTGGGGGTCACACTTGGGAAATGGTTGAGGGAGGTTTTATGAAAGGAAATACAAGAACTTGTTAATCATCAAAATCATGAAAAAGTATACAATAGGACAAGGAGTCCTCGTGAGGAAAAAATCACAAACAAAGATACAATTGTAATGAAAGAATTATGAGCATAGCAAAAGAAGCATGATAACAAAATCCCAAGTCTCAACAATCGGCATGCACTTGAGGCCAGGTTGGAAATAATTCATTAGGAGCAACCTTTCAATCCAAAAGTTTGATCTCTTCAAGGAAAAAGAAGTAAAACCGGAAGCAAACACTCAAAGAGAAGCCATGAAAATGATTTTTTCCTATAAATTTTTCAAAGAGGTCTCTCATTCTTCAAAAATTTGCCCATTTCTTTTCAACCACACCACCCACCACAATGCTAACGTCGTACTCGTCCATGCAATCTTACCTTTTGTTGCTTGATCCAAAGCTGTTAAAATGAATCTCAAATATCGAAACACCATCTTTAGGACACACCAACAAAATGCCAACTATTCCTAATAACCTATTCCACAATTTATAGACAAAAGAGCAATGGAAAAATAGATGATCCATGCTTTCCTCCCTACATTTGCACATTATACACCGTTATGGTAAATGATAATAGGACGGTCTTTTATTTTGTAGCACATCGTTGTTATTGAGGCTCTTATGTAAGCAACCAAGTAATAACTTGTATCTTTAGGAGAGCCTTAGACTTCTAAATCATAAATGAGAGTTGGAAAGTTGGGAAGCAATGTTTATCAATCAAGGACTCAAAAAGTCTTTTATTTTGTAGCACATCATTGTTATTGAGGCTCTTATGTAAGCAACCAAGCAATAACTTGTATCTTTAGGAGAGCCTTAGACTTCTAAATCATAAATGAGAGTTGGAAAGTTGGGAAGCAATGTTTATCAATCAAGGACTCAAAAAGTCTTTTATTTTGTAGCACATCATTGTTATTGAGGCTCTTATGTAAGCAACCAAGCAATAACTTGTATCTTTAGGAGAGCCTTAGACTTCTAAATCATAAATGAGAGTTGGAAAGTTGGGAAGCAATGTTTATCAATCAAGGACTCAAAAAGCGACTTATGAGAAAAATCTCCTAAAGAAGAGATGATCCACTTCCTTCGGTCCAAAGAAGAAGGATTCAACACAATGTATCAAGGATAATCAAAAGCGAAGACATCTCGACCACCTTTCTATTATGAGATTTCTAAAGAAGTCAAAATTCTAGCAAATTGGGGACGAGAAGGATGATATCATACTTGAGATGGATGAATTGTGATTTCTAGACAACCTGTATAAGTGAGGGAACATGGATGTAAAAGACGAATCACCTCCCCAAGTATCGTCCCAAAGTCGAATTCCTCCCCATGACCATCGGAATACTTGCATAGGTAGAAAAGCTAGATAGACATTGTGAAATGAACTATCAAGGACAATGAAAACTCTCTCTCACTTGCTTTGGAATCCAATCCATTTTCTTGTATCTCATACTTAATTTTGATCACAAGATTCCATAAACTATTGATCTCAATGGGTATATCCATAACCATTTTAATAAGTAAATAAATATATCTAGCTTTTAAGTTACTCAAAACAAGACTCCCTCTAATTTTGGATTGGGATATCAAGTCCCATCTCACCAAATGATCTCTTTTATCTTCACCACTACGTTTCCTTAAAAAATCACTCGTCATTTTTTGAATCTTTCTTCCCACTTTCAAAGGCATCTTGAATAGAGACATATACTAAAGAAGAATGCTATGGAGCACTGAATGGATTAATGTGTCCCGAATTCAAATAAGCTTTCTTCCACCCATCTAACTTTTTTCTAATCTTTTGGATCACTTGCTCTCAAAAAGTTAAAAGACTTTGGATAACCCCAAATACTTATGTGGCCATTTTGAAATAGAGTATCCTAAAGCTTCAACCAATCTGTCTAACTTGTCTTGTTGCACATGAATTCCAACAATTGTCCTCTTAGACAAGTTATCTTTAATGCCCAATATCAACTCAAAGCATTTCAAAATTAGGGCAATTAACTTAATATTGTAAATGAGTTACTTCCACTCTTTCCCTTCCAACTTTCAAACCTTCCACCTCCCTTCTACTAGCCCTATCCATCATCCTACCCAACACATCAAACCACCAAAGTGAAAAGAAAGGGAGATAGAAGATCTCCTTGTCTAAGACCTTTAGTTGGTTTAAAACACTCTTTTGAAGCCCCATTACAACTACTGAGAAGTTCACCGATTTTAAGCAACACATAATCCACTTTCTCCATATTAAACCAAAACCATTGCATTCCATCACATAATGCAAAAAGTCCCACCCCACCATATCATAAGTTTTTTCAAATTCCACCTTAAAAACAATCCCATCCTTCTTCTTTTCTTTGTACTTCTCAATAATTTCATTAGCGACAAGAACCACATCCAAAATGCATTTCCCTTGGTAAAGTCTCCTTGGGAAACCAAAATAGTCTCCAAAACCTCTCGAATCCTCTTCGAAAGACTTTGGTCAAAACTATGTATAGACTAGTTACTAAGGTAATGGGCCGCAAATCCTTTATTCTAGAAAATCTCTCTTTCTTAGGAATAAGACAAATTGAAGTGGCATTTGTGCGTGAATTTACAACTCCATTCTCAAAAATTCTACAAAAACTTTTATCAAGTCCCCTTTAATTACTTCACAGCACTTTTGGAAAACTGTCATGGTAAAAGCCATCTGGACCCGGGGATTTATTGCATTTTTAATCTCATCCTCTCCAAAAAGTCTTTTACGGCACAATTGACTTGTTCTCAGATATTCATTTTAGTAATGGGTAGTTGGACATTCATAACTTGATCATTTGATGATTTGCAAGGTCAGTTATAGTACTGAGGATATACATCGAACAAAATAGTTGTAGGATCGTAGCAGAAGATAGAACAGCTTTTTGGTTGCTTGAAGTGCCTAAATTGATCTGTGCGTGCGTATGTTGCATTTTCAAATACGTATTGAGAGCTTGGCTGAGGATGTTGTTTTTAATTATTTCAATGGTACTTGTTATGCAGAATTTTTGTTGTGATAATTCCTTTTTCCATCTGTCATATAAATCACTTCTTGCATGGAAGTGTTCAAGTTTCCTGACAACACTCACTTGTCTTGAGTTATTGTGTCATTCCATAAAGATTTTTTCGGTAATCAACAACTGTTATTAGTGAAGTAAAGTCGCATAAGTGGTGGACAAGAAATCCAATCAACTATGGCAAAGTGAAACCAAAATTGCATAGAAAACAAAAACAGGAAATCATTATCCATCACGATACACAACCACGGTACACCCTTGATTACTTGAAGGCAAAGGAAAATTCCAGAATTCTTTTGCCTCTGACACCCTTAAAAAAGTCAAAACATTTATTCCTTTCCAACCGGACCACCTGAAAAGTAGCCATTTANACGGTACACCCTTGATTACTTGAAGGCAAAGGAAAATTCCAGAATTCTTTTGCCTCTGACACCCTTAAAAAGTCAAAACATTTATTCCTTTCCAACCGGACCACCTGAAAAGTAGCCATTTATTGCATAATTCCAAAGAGTTGAAGCCCTTTTGTTCTTCCACCACCCACCACCCACCGTCATTCTCACAAAAAAAGAAACACAACGAGGAAACACCCTATCCAACCTGAATTCCAAAAATAGATTATTCCAAAATCTTAAGGCAATGTTACAATGGAGAAAACGATGGTCGATGCTCTCACCAGTCCTTCTACACGTGCCACACCAATTGGAAGAAAGACAAACACCATGGTTTCTTTCGTTGAATCAAATCACCGGTGTTAAATTTCCCATGGCCAACTGTTCATGCAAAAACATGTACCTTCAGGGGGGTACTTTAGCCTTCTATATTGTTAGAGTGTTCGAAAATAGGCAAAGAATCATCAATACTGAAGGAGCGATTTACAAGAAAAGGTACCCAAAAAATCAAGAATCCAACTCTCCTATCAGACTTATCCAAACGATAACAACACAAGAATAGACAATAAAGAAGAAAGTCCCACAGTATCCCTATCATTCTAATATCTTGGAAAATTAAAATTTGATCTAGATGAGAAGAGGAGGATCCAGACACCCAAGGAACAGAGGAATTCTGAGCCCAAGAATACTGAGGTGAGGAAACAAAGATGCAAAAGAGGCCTCACCCTTGTAAATATCTTCCCAATTTGTCCATCTACTGCAAAATTAATTGGTATGATCCCCTCTCCTGAAGTTTGACTGTAACATAATTTATTTGCTTCAGCTTGAATTTATGTCAGGAAATAGATTTTCTCTTCAGGCTATGTGAAGAGTATTCAGGGTATTTTAACAATTTTTAGGACTTCACTCTACTTCTTTTACCATATCCCTAGCCAACAGTTACATTAAACGTTACTCTTGAAAACATACTGTTAATAAACATTGCTAACACGTTGCTGGTTGCGTGGTTCTTGAGAGGTATGACTCGCTTTTTTGATGATTCAATTCTGTCACCCAGATATTGTTTATAACTTTAGACATCTTCAATTGGCTTGAACAAATAGTGTGTCTTCTTTTTTGGTGTAAGTTGGAAGCATTCACCATCTGGGAAACTAAAAGTAAAATTCGCTTTATATAGATATATATGTGCGTGTAATCTCAAGCCCTTTTGTCTTCCATACACTCCCACCAGAAAAAAAGTAAATAAATGATGCTGATGATGTCTTCTGTCTTGAATTCAGTTAAATGCTATAATTCCTTTCTGTTTAAAAAAATAAATTTGTGGCTTTGACAGCACTAGTGTCTCATAATATCTTGGGTTGTAGTTTGAGACTAGTAATATTGATTGAATGCTGCCATTATCTGATGAGTGATGACTTTGCCTATCATGCAGGTTATGCAGAAGCACCAGAAGTATTTTGCCATCACCAATGAAAATGGAAATCTTTTACCCTACTTCATATCTGTGAGACATGTTGACCATTCTATAACTGTTTTATAACTTAATAGTCTTAGTACTGGAAATGAACTGTTCGTGACTGCTCAGATGACACTGGATCTCTTTTCAGGTTGCTAATGGAGCAATCAATGAGGCAGTGGTGAGAAAGGGAAATGAAGCTGTACTTAGGTTGATGTGGACCACACTTATTCCCTTGTTGGGCAAAGAAGCAGAAATTATCTGCTGAACTTTGCATATTTTTTGATATTTCTTTTTATAAGCTTAAAATCAAAGTCAGCTTGGAAGCAACATCAATTTGAATTCATATGAAGTCAAATTTGCGTTATGCAGTCCATTACTTTCACTTTTTGTTTATACTTGTATTAAAACTCTTTTTCATTAAAGAGTTTCTGGACTGAGCCAGTAAGTCATTTATTTGTGCAGAGCTCGATATGAAGATGCAAAGTTTTTCTATGAGATGGATACAAGTAAGAAGTTTTCAGAATTTCGAAGTCAATTGAAGGGGATTCTTTTCCATGTATGGCTTTTCAACCTTTCTGCAGCCTTGGGTTTTTTCTTTACACTTTGGAGAGAATTTTGTTAGAGCATTCAATCCAAAACCAATTAGTAATGGGTGGAATGACCCTTCAAGTATTTTACTCAGTCTTGGGAATACTTAGTTCTTTGATGTGGGATAGCTCTCTTCACACTTTCCTCCTTCACGTGTGACCCAGACTCGCATGTGGATTAACAAATCGAACTGAAACAGGTAGATAAACAAATTCGGGGAATTCAACTGGGTTAGATACTTGGACCACCAACTCCTAAGGTTCAGCTTTGATACCATGTTGGAGCATCAAACCCAAAACAAATTGGCAATGGGTGAAGTGGTACTTCATGTTTATAAACCATCATTGGGTCTACTTAATTTTTTGATGTGGGATAGCTCTCTTCATGGATTTGATAGGATGTCTGGCAAATTTGTTTTCCTGTTTTTCCATCTAGTACCTGAGGGATCAGATAGGATTTAGTTGCAAGATTGGGAACTTAAAGTTTTCTATTACAAGTAATGGGCGATGTGGCTGCCAGTCATTTAAACTGTTTTAATGACCATAAAAATGATTGTTTAATTTGTCTAAGTGTTGTAACTATATTGGATTTCCCGCTGAATCCTTGTATGAAATGAATCAGGAGAAGCTAGGTACAATGCTAGACAAGATGATACGGGTCCAGAGCACAGTTACTGAACTGGGCTTGGCTCTGGGAATTAATGAAGATGATCTTCAAATTGTTCAGGATGCTGCATCGTTGGCTATGTCAGATCTTGCTACTGCTGTTGTTACAGAATTTACTTCTCTTTCAGGGATAATGGCGCACCATTATGCTCTTAGAGATGGCTACTCAGAGCAGGTTTTTAAACTTACAACTACACCCATTTCTCCGCCCCCATTATTCTTATGTATGGTGGTATTTTCATGTGTGGTTTGCTATTGGATCCTTTGGGTTAATCTGGAGGGAAAATTGCAGTTGCAAACTTCAAACTGATTAATTCAAGTTTACCACTTTGCGTTCTTCTACTTAGATTGAAGGAAGTGGCTAGGCGAACCTGAGTACATTTAGGCTAAGCATCTAGTAGTTAGCATTTGGAAGTGCTTTTCTTGCCTTTGTTTTCCGGAATACTTTTTGCTTTTCCACAAAAAGAAAATTCTACTAAAATGGTTGCAAATGTACCTTTAGCTTATGCCTGTGTTGCAGAAATGGGGACATTTTACGGTTTGTACTGGACATGTGTACAATTAGGGATACTTATATGAATCGGTAGTAATGTAGTTAATAGAAAGGGATGCATAAATCATTGCCTTTAACTTAAAAAGGTTACAGTTTTTATTAAAATCATTTTCAATATATATAAAACATGCATGGATATTATACTTTTTACTTCCTATTCTCGTGATCTCTTGATGTTATGATTGTTTGGCCATTTTAACCCCTGTAATACTTACTGTTTACTGGTATTTTGTCATTATTCATTATCTAATTTTCTCTTGACGGCTAGTGTAAGAGTACTAATCAAGCAACACCCTTGAAGGGTTGGTAAAATTTACCCTTTTTTAACAAAAGTTTACCATGAATTTGATCACTCGAGCTGGTTTGAGGTTCACTTGGCTGTTATCAAATTGGGGCAAGGCTAGTTTATGCATTCTTTTTCCTTCTCAAAATTCATATATGAGATTCTTATTTTGGTTGTTTACTTCATTGCTGCAATTAAGTTTTGTTTGGGAATTTTCCGTGGCTCTTACCAAATTTAGTTTTATTTTTCATATTTATATGTGGCAGATTTCAGAGGCATTGTTTGAGATCACAGTTCCACGATTTTCAGGAGATGTACTTCCCAAAACAGATGCAGGGATCGTGTTGGCAATTGCAGACAGGTGAAGTAGAAGGAACAATCATACATTTATTCCTTTTCGGATCACTCCTGTGATTGTTTTATATCTTCATTGTCTGTAACTGTAAATACTATTTTTAATGTTACGTTTGCATGAGAATTTTCGAGATGAAACACAGGACTGCTTCTATTTGAGCCTTTGTTACCCCAAAAATGCTAGGGTCAAGCATCTTTTGATCTAGATATTGGGGTCCAAGCAGTGTTTTGAAAAGCTCGCCTAGGTGAGAAGCGAGGCGAGGCGAGCTTATCTCGCCTGGAGGACCCCAGGCGAAGCGAACGTGAGCGAAGCGAGAAAAAGCGAACGCTTTATTATAAGAGGCAATTCTGCTTCCCTTTTTTTTTTTTTTTTTGGATTACATGTTAGTAGTCTCTTTTATTTTTTAATCACTAATGACTTTTTTTTTAAACTATCGCGGGTCTATTTTTTTTTTCTAATAAACAATGTTTCGAACAAAACACATTCCTTTTTTTTCCTTGTGTTACTGAATTCATTTAGAATATTTGTGGGATGTGGGAGTCAGGTGACTGCATGACAAAATTATGATAAAGAAAGGAAGTAGGAATATCAAGAATGGGGGTAAATAATAGAGTCTTCTACAAAGAAGTGTCTCTGATATGTTTTAGTTATACTTTTTCCTTTTCCTATATATATACAAATGGTACCAAAAAGTGGTCTATGCTTATACCATGTTTAATTATTTTAGTACATGTGAAATGTGCCTCTATTCTGCTTTTTTTATTCAGTACATAATTACATATGAAGTTGTTTACAATTGATTCTGCTCCCGTCATGATCATTGTGTTTCTGGTTTTTTTTTTAGCTCATTCTGCTTCTATTTTTTTTTGTTGATTCTGTTGCTGCTTCGGTTTTGCTGTCCTGTGCTGCTTCTGTTTTTTTTTATCCTCATTCTGCTTCTTTTTTTTTGTTGCTGATTCTACTGCTGTCCTGATTCTGCTTCTTTTGTTGTCCTACCTTGTCAATATGAAAATGTATACAATTGTTAGTATTTGTTTGAATTTAAATGTTTAAGTTATAACTGTTATTAAAATTTGAGATATTATTAGTGTTTGTTTTAATTTAAATGTTTATGGTTTTACTTGCATTTAAATATTTAGTGTATATAAAATTAGAACTTAGATTGTTTAGAAGTAATTAAACTAAAATATATATTTTTTTAACTGTTCGCTTTGCTTCGGTAAAGCATGTCGCTTCGCTTCTCGCCTAGGCGTTAGGAGCTTTGGTCGTTTCGGTTTGCTTTACGCCTTAAATAACACTGGGTCCAAGAATAATACATAAATGTTTCAGACACCGAAAAAGGCCTTCAGTTCTGTATACCAAATTAAGAAAGTATAAATTCCATTCATTAACTCTTACCTCTGTTCTCATTTTGCATGAGAAGGGTCTAAAATGATTAGCTAAGATGATGGAGTATAGAATAATAGTAATTTGGAAGAGCTACACCAAATAAATGAACAGATGAAATTAAGCAGTAATATGTCCTTACATGATTGTTTACAGTTATAAATTAATTGTTGTAAACTGGTTAATGCGTTTGTAAAACAAAAAGACAACATATTTTTTAATCCTATTCCGTTGATTTAGTGGAAAACTGTCCTTTCGTTTGAAACTAGCTCATCATTTTTATCTCTAATCAAAAAGTCTACCTTTCCCTTGCCATCTCAAGAAGTGTTGAACTGCATACGTGTTCCCATACTAAATACCATAACCTTTCATGATCTTAGCAACGTTGAGTAGAGATACTTTTTTTTTCCTTGTGATGTAAATTGAGACACTTTAACTGATTGTGTGGTGGGATAAATGTGGTAGAACATAGTGTTATCTTATTGATGAAAGAGTTCTATTCTGCCTATGCTTTTTTATGGGTCCTAAAACGTTAAAGGAAAAATGTATCATGGAAGCTGGGCCCTTTGACGCTGGATGAACATGCTGTTAATTGCATGTGAAAAAGTGAAATTTATACTTCACCAGGTGACACGACGTTAAGGAAAAAAGCCCAAAGCATACTAAACATGGAGCAGAAAAGCTAATTTAGTAGTCGCCTGCGCGGTGCATAAACCTTTTGCTCAATATGCTTCTCTCATGGTTGAAAGTGAGATCAGACTTAACGATGGATATCCTACCATGGTTCAAGGTTATGGCATCCACAATTGACTCAGAAGGCACTGAGATGCATTGTTCACAACATCACGGAATGATACGCACAAAATTCTGCACAGAAGAAGCTTAAATCACAGGAGATTTAAGCATTGTCGCAGATCAATATCGCCCGATTTGGTGACTGTGAATCAGACGACTCTGGTTGACTGGGAGAAACCTTGGATGACCTGCGCAAGTCATGTGGGACTTGTTACACTGAACGTGCCACGGTATTGGATCAAGAGGTGCTGAGTTTGATTCAACTCTACCAAGTCATATCAATATTGGTTGATATCTTGAACCATGGAACCTCCATCCCCTATTTTAGGGGTGATGTTATGATTGTTGTAAGTTCGATGAGCTGACCTATGACCTATGTGGTGGGTGATTTTTCTTAAGGCGCGCTGCTATACAAAGCAAACTGAATGGCATATGAATATATGATAATGCCCTACAATAGTCTTTCACCAAGTTTTGGTTCAAAGATTTTTTAAACAAAATTTAGTGAATCAGAACCTTCTCATTAGGTGAAAAACATGTGGTCCCACATAAATCGGCCCAGTCCCATATGCCATAACGTCAGCGTTGTCGCTCAAATTATTGGGAGTATAACTGCCTGAAAGATCCTAGCACTGCCTATTGATTTTCAAGAGAAGAGGATATATTTTTTTGGGATATTTATCAAAAATATTTCTTTCCTAAACAGAAAATGAGCAGTAGCTGGAATCCTTTGTCAGTTTAAAATTTGGTCATAAGGATTTGGTGTCAGCTTGTGCTTGTAGATTTTACGAGAGAGGGTAAGAGTTATTTGCAGTTATCTCCTTTTAATACAATGAGTTTTTTTTCGTGTAAGATTCACAAGATTTGGTTTTTTCATCCATTTGGTATGAGAAGTTATTCAACAGGTTTTCCATTTGATTTATTTTTTCCCGTTATTACTTCTTGTAGCCTAAGAAGCATAGGCACTTCTAAGAAGATGACGTTCCTGTGTTGGTCACTTATCAGCCTCCAAATTTTCTTGGGCACTTTTGGACACATGTTCGACACTTTTGTGTTTGTTTCCATAGTGTTAAGAAATGGAAATTTTAGTTTTGGACATGTGTGCGACACTCGCTTAGCAATGTGTCCGAAAGTCTTGGGCTGTTTTTTAGTGAAAATTAAACACGTGGCTGACAATTCTTGAACAGTTGCTAACATATTATTAACAAAACTTACAAATCAACCTTATGACTATCTTATTGCTAGGCAAAACGGATAATTATTAAGATTAATCCCATCAAAATATTGCTTAAGCTTTACTGGAAAAATGGAATACAATGGCATGAGAGGATTAGAGATATTTATTGTGTAGGCTTGCTAAAAATGTGTTTGACAAGTGAGTGATTATTGCCAAATATGATCAAAGAGTTCAAAGGGTCATGCTAAGAGTACCATAACATGTAAATATAATTTAGCTATCAGAAAGTATTGATTTTCTTATATTTATATAATTGTATCTCTGTATATATCTATAATTTTTATAACTAATGTATGAAACAATTATTTTTTAAAATATCTTGTCTGTGTCCATGGCCTACTTTTTAGAATTTGTCTTGTCCGTGTCGGATTGTGTTGTGTCCATATATGCGTCTGTGCTTTATAGCTTGTAGCTATGCTAGGTTGGAAGTCATGTTTTCATCTTGCTTGAAGTTTAAATCTTCTATATATATTCTACATTGAATCTGTGTTTTTTTAATCAAATTTACATATATAGAACAACGTATGGTGGATCCTGACCAAAAAAAAACAGTGTATGGTGGATGGTGATTCTGTATTTCTGTTTTCTTTAATATCTGTTTCTAATTCTTCTTTTGTTTGCAGTGAAATAAATTGATTGATTATGACACCAAAAGTTCTTTGTTGACATAATGTTCAATCTCAACTTTGACATCTAGATTTGGTCATAAATAGTTGCATGATGCATCATGGAAGACAATTTCAGTTGATCAAGGGATTGTGTTTGTTACGTCTAATAGTTTGCGTTTATTTTCTTTCCTTCTTATGTCACAAGTAATTTTTTATGTTTGTGAATAATTTGATGATGCCTAAATAAACATCCACTCAGAATCTGTTTCTCGTTTTGTTTATCTTGAATATGCAACTAACAGAAAGCGAGACTTATACTTTTACCTGCTGAATGGTGTTCATTTCTCTTGTATGTCTGCTCAAAGTTCTTGTTAGGACCATCATCAATTTTCTGTGTATGATTTTGTTCCTAAACATAGTCCATTAATATTTAACTGGAGTACGCTAGAAGACATATGGTTCTTTTACCATTCATGTCTGAAATCCAAGTGGAAATTTTATCTCCTTTTGCTTATTCACGACTGGCTCCTATATTATTCTTATATGTTACACTTTTATTCACCTGAACCAGAATGGACAAGTTAGTCGTCTCGTAATCTCTTGCAGGTTAGATAGCCTTGTCGGCTTATTTGGAGCTGGTTGTCAGCCAAGTTCCAGTAATGATCCATTTGGCTTGCGGAGAATCTCTTATGGTCTTGTACGTTACATGAGCATAAAACTGCTGAGTCTCTTCAGGTGACATCAGAATAATGCTGCCTTTGTTTGGTGTAGGTCCAAGTGTTGGTGGAAAACAACAGAAATTTGGATTTAAGACATGCTTTAGGACTTGCTGCTGCTGTCCAACCCATCAAAATTGATGCCAAAACAATTGGTGATGTAAGAACCAGTTTCTGTTGGATTCATCTAGAAAGTCCATTGTTAATTGAACGGTGTGGAACGTTTGAGACTCCATTGGATCTAGCAGAGGCATTAAGAGAGTTTTACATGATAATTGTTTTGGTTTCATTTGCAAGTCCAATAGTATGATATGCTTGAACATGTCAAACACGGTGGCAGCACCACCTGCCATTCAATGAATATATGATGCTAGGGACTCTGTGGATGGGGTGTTTGCTGCATCTCCTGTAATTTTGATTGTACTTGGCTCATCATGTGATATATTGGATCAGATCATTATGATAACTGAATGATGGGGAACACAAGGAATTGGATAGGAAGGGTTGAATATTAATATTATGAATTTAATTTTAGATTTTGTTTTATTTTAGGAATTTTAAATGTTCGTATTTTTTTTTTTTTTTTGCAACTTTTGGTTTGGTTAATTTTGCAGACTGCCTCAATACTGATAATTATTTACATCTATCACTCTCATCTGTTCGCCCTCCCCTTGCTGTTCTTCTCTCTTGCCTTTCTCATGCTCTTCTCTTTTCTCTTGATCTATGCGAACTTTGGGTGTTTTGGTGCTACATCGTTGGATTTACTGCAACCTTATCTATGCTTCCTATTTATCCATTAGGCATTATTATTATTTTCCTCTGCCTTTTCTTTTTATCTATTTTTTCCCCTTCACACATCTTTTTGTTCACCACCACTGATGAAACCATGCTTTGATTATTGCTTCTCTTGTTTAGGTACATCAATTTGTAACCCGGAGGCTGGAGCAATTTCTGGTATGTGCGTGCAACTTAAAGATCAAGGAATTGTTTGGAGTTGCTATGCTGTTTGGGATATATCTTCCTTATTTCTGTCTTTTCATCATCTTAAAAGATCCCTAGATAAAAAGAATGGAGGGTTATAGGGTAGTTTCATGCCCTCCATTTATCTACCAGGGGAAAAAAGAGAATTTTATAGATTTGTGTCAATGTTCTCCTTGGTATCCATGATTTCATTTGTGTGCATTACTTTTCAAATAAGTGCTTAAGGTTAAATGGTGAGTTGGGGTGACCTTATATCTTTTGCTGTAATTGCAACTAGGATCTGTGTGTTGCTTGCTGTAAATTCACACCATGCATCCAACTCAAAATCACAAAGAAAAAAAGTAAATATTCCAAAATTTAATTTCTTGAATGCATAAAATCAGTGCACCGTGTCTGATTGAAAATTGTAAACCCATCCGATCTTCAGAATGAGCCTACACTAAGGTTTTTGTGATGAAAAGCCTCTAGAATTGGCCAATATGAAAGCAGTAGCTGAGACGATGATGTTAGTAGGGTCAGCCTATGGTCTGCTCAGGGATCTTTTGTTTTTCTGTTCCTTGTTCAGGTTACAAATCTGTGTGCTTTTAAATTCCTATTACTTTTGAAGCATGTCACATGGCCATGTACTCCTTTTGTTTTCTCTTTTTCTGGGTATATTAGCTTTTAGATTTATTTTTAATGAATGACCGAGTTTAAACTAATAATGCATCTCTTTCTTCTGTTTTGGGCTTGAGGGCGTTTTTAAGCTAAATTTTCACTTGATCTAGGTCTCTACATTTTCTTTCTTAATGAGATGAATCCTCAGTCATATGGAGTGGATTTGTATAGTTTGATCTTGAAGAGGCATGGGCTTGACTTGATCTCTATTTTAGCTAATTAGGCTGATGTTTTCTATTCTTACTCAACTCATTGCCACTCCTGTTCGTCACAATTTTACAATTAGCAGCCGAAGTTGCTATTTGTTGAAAAATACAGAGCGGGCAACTTGAAGGCTGTTAGAATGACAAAACCAAGGGGTTTTTATGATTATGGTGTCAATCTGGAATAAAAGGATGACTATTTGTCTTCTTAGAATGGACAAGCTGCATTTTTTAAATGGGGTTGTTTATTTCTCTTCCTTCTGTTGATAAGAAAAAACATGTATGGCTACTCAGATATTACTTATAATCGCTGACTACCTAAAGTTCTCCTTCAATTTCTCTTCCCTAATTCTAGGTTGTGAGGATGTTTCATTTCATCATTAATATCAAATCTAGAGTTTGTGTTTGACTTTGGGAAGTCATGCCAATCGAATATTAGATGGCTTAGGTTTGTCTCAATGTTTGGCATTTATAACTATTCCCAAGCTTATTTTCTTGAAATGACTTGTTGAACATGCTTGGAACCAGATAAGCCCTCTGATACTCTTGTGTGGTTCCTTTTATATTTTGTGAACATCAGTTCATTCTATTAGGAGGAATGTACATATCGAAACATTGCCTGGAATTGTACTGTGAAGTCAAATACATGATTGCCTTGGTGTTATGTGCTCCATCCTTTAGAGATTGCGAGTTACATGATGCATCTCATTGCACATGTGAGATCATCATTTACTTGTTACAGGTTTATATAGCATCCAAGTTTTTGTTTGCTTAGCTTTGGCATGAGTTATTTTCAGGCAGGAAGATGAGATGATTTGCATTCATATTTAATGTGTTTTGATGACAGGTTGATAAGGGAATAAATCCAGAAGTGGTTCGGTCTATTCTTATGGAACGCGCAAACTGGCCTTGTCTAGCGACCAAGTCTGCATTTCAAGTAACTTACTTCTATTTGAAGATGCCCATATACTGATATCTGCTCTGAGTTTGTCCATCAAATGATTACTACCTAAAATGTACCTTTATAATTGAATTCTGCAATTGATGATCTGTTTAGGCTTTTTTCCCTTGTGCTGTTTTTTTTTTCCTCTTTTCCTTTTCTTTTTTCCCAACTATTTTGGTTGTCTGAATGTACTTTCTCACTTTGCTTTTAGTTACACTGGTTTACTTCCAAGAAACAGTATCATGCGTTACTGCCTTTTAAGAAAACTAACAGACAATCTGAAGAAAAATTTGTGACGTTGGGATTAGTGATGAATTTCTTTGTACTATCTGTTTAAAGTAGAGGAGATGGGTGGCTATTTAAAAGCTCTTGACCATGGTTATTTTTCTTAGGGTTAGGAATAAGTTGATAAAGATGAGAAAAATACTTTTTAGATTACTAGCAATGCAAATGCACGTGAAAATTTAAGTACTAAAAATTTTCTTGAAATCTGTAAAAAGAAAAACAAGTTATATGCTTACATAAATTAAAGCAAGTGACATCTCATTTTCTAAGTTTTTATTTGTATTCTCTATATTATGTAATTAAAAAAAGTTCAAGGAAAATTGAGTAATAAGAAAAAAATTAAATAGTTCATGTTTTAACTTCAAAACAAAAAGGAAATAGTACCTGTTTTAGTATAGAAGATCAGCATTGTTTTAGGGGATTTTTTCTAGCGTTATATTATAGAGTGTTTTAAAAAGGTTTTCAAACATTGTGAGATTTAGAATTTTTTATTTATTATTTGTTTGTTATTTGCATTATTTCTTAATTTTAAAAATATATACATATAGATATCAACCTCACGGAGAAATGAAGGGATTTTTATGCCTTTTAAGTTTTAAAATGGTAGGATTGTTGTTAGTGATAATCACAAATATGGATCAATATTTATTTATCTAATTTTGATTTATCTGAGTAAATTAAATATAATAATATATAAAATAAAAAAAAAAAGATGTCGGAGGGTAACTTAGATTGTTAATTTAAATATTTAAATATAGAAGGATTTAATGAACTTTATAAATTTTTATAACGACAATATAGTGATTGAATATTAAAATGTAGGACATAAAGAGCTTTTTGATTTTTAGTAAGGACAAAATAGTCAATTAAAAGTTTTTCATGTTTATTTAGTTATATTAATAGTACAGATATAGATAATTGAAAAAAGACATGATGACCTTTGTAATTTTTAATAAAGACAAAATAGTCAAGCAAAAGTTTTTCATGTTAAGGTTTTTTTTTATTAGTAGTATAGATGTGTAAACCAATCTCTTGTTTTATTCCTTCTTTCTTTCTTTTGTACGCTGGAATCATGACAGCTACAGATCAGATGCTGTTATTTACGTCCGCCAAAATGTCATTGAATTTTCATAACAGGTTTGCAAACTGATGGCCAAAATTGAGGAGTTCCGGTTTGCTGAATTAAGCTGAGAGCCGTCATAAGGCTGCTTACGGGGCTAGGACAATTAGGAGTGATCAAAATTGGGGATCCCATAACTTAGAATTTGTAACAATTAAAATAGTATTATCAGCAAGGTTACAGTTTTAGCTCATAAACCTGTGTTTTGGTCCAGTTTGTTGAATTAAGCTGAGTGCAGTCAAAAGGCTATTGCTGTGACTATGAAAATTAGACTTGTGAAAGTTTGGGATCTCTGAACTTGAAAGTTTAGCCCTTATGAATTTTTTTTCATCAAGTTTACAGTCGTATAAAGCTACTTTGGGATCTCTCATATAAACCTACTTTGGTCATTCCTCATAGACAGTGGTGACTTTAAACTGCAGCTTCAATTCATTTTTGAAGAGCATGTGAACATATGTGCCATTCCATTTCTGATGAACAAAGAATTTACACAAACTGAAAAATGAGCGAAATATTTACCATGCCATGTGTATAGAACTGTATGCCCTATCTTGGGAAGTCAGGAACCAAAAAGGTTTTCCTTAGGACTCCATGCATCAACAAAAGATAAGTATAAAGATCTTGCGGAGGAAGTCTATGTCACATTTCAAGGGTCATTTCCATTAAAGACTCCTATTTTGCTCCTTCGTGAACATCATTGGATTCAGAGTGAAGTAGCATTTAACTTAAGTATAAAGCTAACTTCATTATTCGATCCACCGGCACCAATGTCCGCCTCTTTGCACCCATAGTTCTATGATTTTATCTGACAGCTCAAGATAAGTAGGTTATTGGCTGTCTTTGCATTCTTGTCTAAAGATTGGAATGGAATACGACTAATTAGATAATCAACTGTGAGGCCTTAATGAGGAACAAAATAGATGTTCTATGGCAAGGATATCTTCCCAGCTTCTATTGAGCTGGCAACACTGCTTTTTCGGTTTAGCATTTACCACAATGTTTTGATTGGGAATTCTTCTTGCCTGTTTGGATGGCTTCATGGAGAATAGCTTGAATGTGAAAAAGGTGCTTCTCTGCCTTTTCCAGATCCTAGCGTTCTCTGCATCTGCATTCGTACAGTCTAGGGTTCTGAAAAAGGAGGTCAGCATTAGTGCTGCATTCTCCAAAAGTTGAACGTTAGTGCATGGCCTCTTATCTGATGGATTTCCTGTGGTGTATTCTTGGTATTTCTGGATCTTTGTCCAAACAGCCCCAGATCATTGCTGGAATTTTGCAGGAAGAATTGATCTCAGCTCAGTTGCCTTCATTAATGTATTTTTTGTCACACTTCCCCATGGCAAAGCTTGGGCCACTAAGATTAAGTGGGAGTTAGACCATTTATTGCTTAGTGATATGCCTCTACTAAAGTTCTATTTCAGAATCAGTAATACTCAAAAATGCATGTAATGATTGCATAGAATTGGCAAAGTAATGAGACCCTATTGATTGCTTTGATGTTGCTCTTAAATAATGCATGCAAAGTATGGGATTTCTGTAGTAGGTGTGGATTTTCATTGTTTTTTTCCTCAAAATCTTAAGTTAAAACTCTGCATAAAATCTGCAAAGCTTGCTTGAATTCGGACATGTTTATGGTCGATACTCAAGATTTGGAGAGTTCCTTACAATTTTCGTCCTTTGGCCCTTGGTTTTCCTGATTTTTGGGTGATTATATTGTTTGGGATTTACCATTTATTGTTTGTTGTCCACGAGATACATTTTTTAACCCTACAGGAAAATTAAATTAAAAGGAAGAAACGTGGGGTGATGGAAATTGCTTTTTGTTTGCTTGTTAGCTGTGTCCTTGTGGATATGCGTGCAAGAACAGTCAAATGATATGTTCATTGTTTAAGGTGTATACTTTCCGACTCCAATGTCAGAATTTTTATACATTCTGCTGTATTTTTTAAATTAATGTCACTCACAATAGGCTTTTAGCAAGTAAAAGTAGTATGGTTGATTTTGTGTTTTACAGTGGACATATCGTATTTTGTGAGTGTTTTGACTAATTTATTTTGCACAATTGTATATTGCAAAATTGCAGCATTAAAAGATTTTTACTCGTCATTTTCTAGTGCTTTTGGAAGATATATCAGCATGCCATTGTGTAAGAAGTAATTGTTTGCAGATGGAAGCCTTGTCAAGAGGTGAGCTTCTGCCAAAGGTTGTGGAAGCATATTCTCGTCCAACAAGAATTGTTCGTGGAAAGGATATGAAAGCTGATTTGGAGGTACTTAATATGTTTCAAACAGATGAGTGACTCAAGATATAGCCTGCCTACAAAAGCCTGTTAGTGTTATGTGATAGCAAATCCAGACCAAATGATTATGTAGAAACAACTCTACTCAACTCAACAAAGCCTTGTCTCAACGTTTTTGGGGTCGACTACATGAATCATGTTTCGCCATTGAGTCCTATCAAGTGCAATGTTTTCAGTGAAACCATAAGTTAACATATCTTTCCTTATTATGTAGAAACAAGGTTTATTAAAGTTGAAGTCACTTAATTAGCTTCTGGTTTCGGCCAGTAAAACTTAAAATTTGTTTTCACTAGTTGAATTGGTCCTTAGTTTTCTATTGATCACTTTTCCATAAGATGAATAAGGGATTCAGTATTAAAAATGGCATGAATTGTTTAACTGCCAGCCACTTTTTTTGCTTTTCTTTTTTCTTAAATTAAATAAGCAGTTCAGAAAGCAAAATACAGATGCTACCTATGGTTGTTATCAAACATGAAGGACCAGTCCCAACACTTATCATATTCGAGCCCAAGTGTTTTAATCTTTGATGGAATTTGTTCTAGACCAGAATTTTTATTGGGATGAGTAAAAAAGGTCTGATAGCCGTCATCACAGAATATATTTAATGTGTATGGGAACATCATGTTTGGCTCATAGGTGGTACTGAGCCGGGTTTAGAGGGTAGAACAGCAAGATATGGTATTTGGAAGGTTGATAGCTGGAAGCACAGATATCCAAGGAGGAGTTGGGATGTGTGGTCTTAGGAACAAGAAGGCCAAAGGTAAAGAAGGTTCATGCTCCGATTGAATGAAAATGGTATTTGTGAGTGGGTTGAATCAGTTCGCTGGTGTTTTATCATGGTACCTACACTTTGTGGTTGGTTACACCACGGAGATTGGGACGAATGAAATAATCATGGGGTGGAAGGTGATGGGCTTCATATAATTCTTTTAAGCATAGAGAATTTTGTATGCCGTCTTAAAGCATAATTTTGGCCAGGTTCGTGATATATAGAGTTTTATGGTGTGGAAAGGAATTAATAATTATCAGCTCTTGCATAACAAGTTGACTCTTAAGAAGTCTCTAAATATATTCCTGGTCCCTAAGTTGTGAGATGTGTGTGAGAGTTGTGGGGGCTTTATTGGTTCATGTCTGGGATTCCTTCCGTAAGTTTTTTCAGGATTATGTGAATTATATCTTCTTTTCAATAGGTGTATGCTGTGCTTTGTTAGAACACCCTAAATAATGTGTCTTCTACTGCAATTTCCCCCTTCGCGGTATAAATGCTTTGCAACATTTCTAGTTAATTCTAGACTGACTTTGGCTCTTTGGATTTGTGAGTCGACAAAGTTGGTTTTTATTTTTATTTTTTGGTACATTAAGTTGGTTTTTATTAATAAAGGCTACGGGTTGATTAGCCAAGTTTCCATACATTTAGTGCTATTTGGTTAATTAGCCGCCAAAGTTAGCACCCCTCTCCTTCATTGCTGATTTGATATCCAAGGACGTTTAATGTTGGTCTGAATATAAGAAAAGTTCTTCAAGTGGGGCCTCTATTACAAGACACTGGCTTATTTTACGATTAGCCGCCAAAGTTAGCACCCCTCTCCTGCCTAGCTATTTTGATATCCAAGGACGTTTAATACTGGTTTCATGACACTGTTTTGTGCTGAGATCATTGAAGAGCAAGAGCAAAAATTTGTATGCAAAATTTTCAGGTTTCTCCTTTATTTTAATTTTATCAACTACAGTGTGAATTATCATATTGTAGGATGAATCTGTGATTGCTTTTGTTTATATTGTTGGGATTTTTTTATTTCCAAATCTACAATTCCATTGTGATCTGCGTGACTTTCAAATGTGTTTTCATCACTTTGTTTCCTTCGTATATCTTGGACAAGACATACGGGGACGTTTATAATAGAAATGGTTTCATTTTTTTAGTTTTTTGGTATTATCCTTTTAGTGTTCTTTCACCAAATCAAAATAAACTTGTTAGGTGGATGAGGCTGCCTTTGAANTGTGATACCTATTATAATAGAAATGGTTTCATTTTTTTAGTTTTTTGGTATTATCCTTTTAGTGTTCTTTCACCAAATCAAAATAAACTTGTTAGGTGGATGAGGCTGCCTTTGAAACCAATGAAGAGAGAGCTTTGTGGAACACGTTCTTGTCATTAAGAAACAAAATTCATCCAGGTATTTACCTTTGTCCAGATAGTGCATTTTACCTAGTAAATGACTCTGTTATTTCCAAGCGTATTGCTTTACAAATTCTTTGGGTAGTTAATTGTTTTAAATTTGCCAACACCTTTGTTGCTGTTGAGTCTATAGTAATTGTCTTTCATCAGCTTGTCACTTGCCTAGCTATTTAATGTTACGTCCTTTCTACAGGAATTGAGGTGGATGATTTTGTGGAACAATCAATGCAACTACTACAGCCACTGGACGATTTTTTTAATCATGTCTTTGTCATGGTGGTGCGTTTCTTCAGATCTTTGCTAAATGTGAAAATTGAGTTTGGCTTTATTATCTCAATTTTTTGCCCCTTCCTCCAGAAGCGCCCTTTATATTTTCTTGTGCTCATGCTTATATAGTTTTAAGGGTAAAATATTTATTGTAGCATAATATTCTTAATAATCATTCATGCTCTACACACCTCAAATGTACCTCCTGCGTCCAAAATCTGTGTGTGTATATATAATCCACTGCTCCCTCTGTTCAAAAAATAATAAGTGCACGAGGTCGAGACCAAGCAATTGTGGTCAACAGAGACAAAACTGTATCATGCATCCTGTGGTACTTTTGCTTATTTAAATTTCCTTAGTAAGATAATAACGCAATGGTGTATAAATTGCAGTTTTCAATTGGGCTTGATGAGAAAAGTAAAATTTTATGCCAAACAAAACCAAGAAAATCATTCCCTTTATCATTAATCAAAGCATTGTTCTCGTGATGCAATCTGACAAGGTGTGCTGGACTGTAGATTTTAACATCTGAGATAAATTTTTTTCTTCGCCCAGACTCCTGGTGTTTATCTAAATAAATGATAAGAAATTAATGCCCTCTCCAACTATGAAAAAATAAGTTCTATCTGAAACTGTCAATGACACCGCTCTTCGATGGAAGCTGACATGGTGTACTGAACTGTAAACGCCAAAAACTTGATATATTTAAGGATTATTATACGTAAGTTCTGAATAACTTCCTGATTTGATGACATTCATGTTTTCTTTACGCCCTCAATTTTTTCACAAATCAATTTCAATTGCCCCACAGATTTCATTACCTACATTCTCTGAATTATCCCATGGGGGAAATACAACTAATCATGCAAAAATTTCACAAATATCATAAATATGTAAAAGAATTCCAATGTGAAGGGGGTCACTTGACCCCACAGAGATACTTATGCCGGCCTTCAACCAAACTATTAAAGCCAATGGCGTGTAAGTTGAACTTTTCAAAACCTATTTAATTATCCAACAACATGCATGTGTATATGCTTGCTCCATTCCCCATTCTGCTTCCACAAAAAATTGCGTATGTACGTGTTTATCTAATGATTAGTGCAGTAAACGTTTTTTTTTGTGCTTTTTTTCTAGCTCATCATTCATTTCTTGCTTGCTTCACGTTGTGGACTTGTGATTTTAGCATTTGCACCCTTGTCTGCTTCCATGGCTGATACAGCTTTTCTGGCAATGTGGATGACCCGAATTGTAATGGACTTACTCTATTCTCAGCACTGGCACGAAGGACTTTAATGGATCAGCTTCCCCCCCAGTTTTGTTACATGCTTGTTTTTATCTCTTCTTAAACCAGGAAGCTGGGTGTCTAGATATAAACCCAAAACATTAATCAAAAACTCTCATGTTCAGGAAACATCAGTGGTGCAAATCCTGGGGATTTTTGGGGGTATTAAGGCCCCGACGAATTGATGCCAATCCAACAAATAGTGCAAGTAACTGTAGTTTGTGGGATTGAAAATGCAAGTCTCTAATTTTGACATCAGACAGTATTTTTAGCTATATAAAGGGTGCAAAAACTGTAACATCTTGGTTTTTGGGTAGTAAATGTTTTGTCTTTGAATTTTTTGTAATTATGTGCTAATTGGTCTTGTGCGTATATCTGATTTTACGTTGTTAATCCATGCATTTCTTTATATATGTGATCTTATATGTGCAGGAAGAAGAAAAAATCAGAAACAACAGGCTTGCATTACTTAAGAAAATTGCAGACCTTCCGAGAGGGATAGCAGACCTCTCCGTTTTGCCCGGATTTTGATTTTTATGTACATGTCATTCATTTGTGCCAATTGAGGTTTGGGTTCATTTCAAGAGGGAAAAATAAGGAACCGTAGATTATCATTTTGGGATTGATTTGTATCAAAAAGAACATTTCTATTCTTTCGGTTGATCAAATTTGTGCTATTGGAGTTGTCATCACTGGGGTGTTCGCTAAGGTCTCTTCTAAATTCCATCAAGAGTGGACGAGTTGGCTGCTAACCCTGCTGGTAAGAAGCTTCTCAAGTAGGAATCTTTTCTTAAAAATGACTTCCAATTGGTGGGGAATGTAGGCCGATACGTCTCTAACTTGTTTCAATGACAGGTAAGATGGTCAAGGTACCTGTGTCCGTCTGGCCGATCGTTTAGCCGCTTAACATTATGGAGTAAATTGTTTAATTTTTTATGTATATAAATTATGCCACCCCCTCCCTCCCCCGGGGGGCCCCTGAGGGTGTTGAGTGGTGGGTGTATTTTTTTTTAAAAGACTTCACACCATTACAGGGAGGGGATAACAAGATTTGAAACTACGACTATAAAACTTAATAGTCGTAGTGGGGACGATAGTCATTAGATCAACAACTAACTTAACCTCAAGTGGTGGAATAAAAATTTGGTGTAGCAGTGATATTACATCGTTAATGTCATGTGTTATTACTAACCAATTATAAAACAAAAAATAAGATTAATGAATTTTATTAATATAATGGCAATTATTAGATAATGTAGTTATCAGTAGTTATTAAAATAGCAGAGTTCACTAAGTTTACTTAGGTGATTCTATGTAGTGTATTGATGATGTGATTTTGCGATTATACCCAATTTTTTCTCCAAAGTGGTGGGTGTTTGAAATTGTCATTTTTGTAGAATGTTTCATCAAATATATTTTAACATTTTGAAAATGGTAAGTAAACTTACAAATTGTATTGTTCATTGATTGGATTTGGATTCAAGTATGGCCTATTTTAATTTAAATTCAATTTGAAAATTCTCTCTTTTCCAAATTCATTTTAAAAAATCGAATATATTTTTAATTTCTTTTAGTCCATATTTGAATTTGTTAAAACTATCTCAGCGTCATCTAGACCAAAGGTACTACTATAGAAATCGACAGTTGATATCGTTATTTATAATTTTTTTGAATATTTTTATTAATTTTATTTTTTATGACAACTTGCAATGGATCAAAGAATAAAATTTTTATCATAATATTTTTAAAAATCAGACTATACCTGTTTTTGGTACCCGGCTGGCTTATCTTCTGTTTGAAACCGACATGTTCGTACGGACAAAAAAATATTAAACACGAGAAAAATAAAATTTAGAATCCACACCGACGACAATAAATTGAGATTTTCAGATAAGTTTCCTCGCTCTCTCTCTACCCCCCCTTCAGTCCTCACACTTCACTGCGTTGCGGCTAGGGTTTAGCCGACTTTCTTTCCCTACTTTCTACCTCTCACCTCTCACTATCTCTAGATTTTTCTAGGGTTTTGTGGTGGTTGGCTGTTGGATAGATCTGTATAGATGATGGATATGAGGTGGAATTAGGGTTTAGTGGTAGCCTTTGGGAGTTGAGCTTTGAGAGCAACGGTTTTTGAGTTGGGAGATGGCGACTACGAACCCGTTCGATTTGCTAGGGGATGATGATGCCGAGGATCCATCGCTGCTGATCGCTGTTCAGCAGCAGAAGATCGCGCCGAAGAAAGCTCCTGCATCGGCGCCGGTGGCTCAGCAGCCCCCGTCCAAGCCGGCGGCTAAGTTGCCTTCCAAGCCTCTTCCACCAGCTCAGGCTGGTGAGCTCTCGACTCAATTTTGGAATATTATTTAGCTTCTAGTGATCTAAGTACATGTGCATATTCTTATTGAATTGATGGTAAGCTTTTTTAGTTTTTCTTTTTTTTTTTTTTTTTTTGCGCAGATTTGGGTTTGGGTGTGTTTTTACTCGTGTATCTGGCAGTTATTAATTTGGATTAGTTTGTTTGGAACTGTGTTTTTTTTTTTCTTTTTTCTGTTAATATATGATATATAAACATAACTTTGAAGTAGTTTTGGTGTGATACTGTATTTAGTATGTGCACAAAAATTTGTTTTGTCAATGCACAAAAAAGAATAGAGAAAGAAAAAACATGCACAAAATGGTTAACAGTCAATTGTATATACAAGTTGGGTCTTCATGTTGTCGGTCTTACACTCTGTAAGTGTTACAGAAATAATAAATGCAAGAAGGTAGCTTTTGGCTGATGTTACTTACGGACTAAATGATGTATTAATACTTTCCAGAAAAAAATTAATCTGACGAGGTGATTTTATGATTCAGATGGTATTTGCCGCAAGCAAAGAATAGAGAAAATTGAGTTCATCAACGAAGTTGCAATATTGATTATTGGCTGGATTACTATGGGTCGCGCTATGTATTATGTTGTAAGGCAGTGGCTTTATGGGATGCTTAACACACTAAATGATAGTGGCACTAAATTTTCTGTTTTGTGTGTTTGGTAGTATGATTAATCTGTTGGCTTAATATGTAAGATGCTGGGGTTAGAACATGGAATTCTCTAAAAGCATATTTTTTGGTGGTTATGGTGAAAAATTGTAAAATGCAGCTGCAGGTACCTTTTTGATTTCACTATTGGAATTGAGCTATAATGGCAATGCCAAAATCTCTTATTTTTATTTCTCTCAGTACCATACTAGGCATATATCAGTTAGTTTCTTTTTCTATTTTTGTTTTTCCATCAGTTGGTAGTGTCTAAGGCTTCATTAAAGTTTCCAAGTTACATGGGAATCCTAGTGATGTGCTTGGTTAAGGCCCAAATACAGACAGACGATAAGAAATTTTAGTGGGTTATCTGTCTTTTAGTATTTTGTTTGTATATATGCTAGGGGTGGCTGTGCAAGTCTCCTCTATGTACAAGTTTTCATTTTTGCTATTTTCATTGTTAGTTGTGTTGGAACAAGGGGAATATAGTTTTGTTGGTGGACTTGAATTGGGCATAGCATAAGTAGGTGGATCCTTTTATGATTGTGGAGTTCCTGATGATTTATAGTCTGTTGGATTTATTTGAAGTATTTCAGATTGTAGGTCATTTGTTTATATTTTAGTATTTAGTTTTGTTATGTTTTTCCCATATTGTGATGACTTTCTGTAAGCTGTACTACAGGGAAAGCAGGAAGAACACGTGTAGCATCAAATCTGTAGACAAAATATTTCCTTAAACCTTATACTGATGTTGGCAGGTATTGGAATGCTAAGCTATCCCAAAAGTGTATTGGTGTGTGTATTGTCACATGTGCCTTAGGGGGCTATGCACTGAAAATGGCATTCAGTTATATTTGTTCGGTGGAGTTTCATGGAGGCACAATCTGACTAGATACCCATGGAATATTTGTTTCTTTATTTTAGTGGTGTTGGGATGTGACTTACTGTGATGGTGGTTCTGTCCAATCATACTCTCGCTTCATTTTGTTTTCTTTCTTATTATTATTATTATTTTTTTGGCATTCTAAATTATTCTCTTTTGTTTGTAAATGGCTTTTCATACCTGTGAAGAAATTTCTGCTGCTCGACTATTATGGGAATTGAAGTTGATGCAATCCTTGCATGTTGTCTTAATTTCAGCTTTACAACATGCTTTGTAAGCCCTCTTATTTACTTCCGTACTTCTTTGCTTGCTTTGCTTGTTTGTATCTTTGAGTAGTCAAGGAGGTAAAAGAGGAAGTTGCACGTGGCGGAGGTCGTGGTAGAGGACGTGGATATGGGCGTGGTCGTGGAGGTGGATTCATTCGAGATGCAGCCAACAATGAGATTTCATATGCTAACAGTAGATTCTCTGGTGGTCAAGGTGCCACTGAAGAGGCAGATACTGGAAAACCTTCCGAAAGGCGTGGTGGCTATGGTGGACCTCGTGGTCCTTTTCGTGGTGGTCGCCATGGCGATTACAGCAATGGAGAAGTGGGGGATGGGGAACGGGAACGGNCTAACCAATTATAAAACAAAAAATAAGATTAATGAATTTTATTAATATAATGGCAATTATTAGATAATGTAGTTATCAGTAGTTATTAAAATAGCAGAGTTCACTAAGTTTACTTAGGTGATTCTATGTAGTGTATTGATGATGTGGTTTTGCGATTATACCCAATTTTTTCTCCAAAGTGGTGGGTGTTTGAAATTGTCATTTTTGTAGAATGTTTCATCAAATATATTTCAACATTTTGAAAATGGTAAGTAAACTTACAAATTGTATTGTTCATTGATTGGATTTGGATTCAAGTATGGCCTATTTTAATTTAAATTCAATTTGAAAATTCTCTCTTTTCCAAATTCATTTTAAAAAATCGAATATATTTTTAATTTCTTTTAGTCCATATTTGAATTTGTTAAAACTATCTCAGCGTCATCTAGACCAAAGGTACTACTATAGAAATCGACAGTTGATATCGTTGTTTATAATTTTTCTGAATATTTTTATTAATTTTATTTTTTATGATAACTTGCAATGGATCAAAGAATAAAATTTTTATCATAATATTTTTAAAAATCAGACTATACCTGCTGTTTTTGGTACCTGGCTGGCTTATCTTCTGTTTGAAACCGACATGTTCGTACGGACAAAAAAATATTAAACACGAGAAAAATAAAATTTAGAATCCACACCGACGACAATAAATTGAGATTTTCAGATAAGTTTCCTCGCTCTCTCTCTACCCCCCCTTCAGTCCTCACACTTCACTGCGTTGCGGCTAGGGTTTAGCCGACTTTCTTTCCCTACTTTCTACCTCTCACCTCTCACTATCTCTAGATTTTTCTAGGGTTTTGTGGTGGTTGGCTGTTGGATAGATCTGTATAGATGATGGATATGAGGTGGAATTAGGGTTTAGTGGTAGCCTTTGGGAGTTGAGCTTTGAGAGCAACGGTTTTTGAGTTGGGAGATGGCGACTACGAACCCGTTCGATTTGCTAGGGGATGATGATGCCGAGGATCCATCGCTGCTGATCGCTGTTCAGCAGCAGAAGATCGCGCCGAAGAAAGCTCCTGCATCGGCGCCGGTGGCTCAGCAGCCCCCGTCCAAGCCGGCGGCTAAGTTGCCTTCCAAGCCTCTTCCACCAGCTCAGGCTGGTGAGCTCTCGACTCAATTTTGGAATATTATTTAGCTTCTAGTGATCTAAGTACATGTGCATATTCGTATTGAATTGATGGTAAGCTTTTTTAGTTTTTCTTTTTTTTTTTTTTTTTTTTTTGTTTTCTGTGAACATTGTTGCTCGGTTGGTCCAAACAAGAGGTAGACTACAAATTGGTGGTGTTTAGTAGAGACCCCAAAAACTATATAATTTTTTTATTAGCATTTGACTTTAGTAGTTCAGGAGGTATGATACTTAAATTTATAATTTTTGTGGTTCATTATATAAATTTTGGATATTAATTAGGAGGGATTTTAAACAGATCATTCTATAATTCTTATTGTTCTAATTATAATTTTTCAGGGGACAGATAATAATTTTTTGGGTGATTGCAGTTGATC